TAATTACGATTATCACAATTTACATTTGAATGATGTTTATACCATTGTTTGATGCAACTGCATGCCGTATTTTTATATGAAAATAAACAAGCTGAAAACACTCTAACTGAAAAACCTTTAGTGCTTTTCTATAGTATTAAGCCTCAAATGTCAAATATACATTGGATTGGTTTCTTCTTTAAATTATACAAAAGTAAAAATATGAATGTATTATAATGTTATACTAAAACTAAAATTAAAATAATGGGGAAAAACCCTTAAGATAACATGTAGAAAGAAAAAAACGCATCTTAAGCATGCAGAATAACATAAGTGGACTTTGAACGATTAATTGCCGCTTTGAATGATTACGTAATTGTGGCATCCATAATTGTAATCGCGATTAGAAATTAGATTAATTGTGCAGCCCTAAATTGGGACCTTTAATGTACAGGGAATGCACCTCTTCAAACAGCAATGTTTTGATAGCACTACAGAGCCAAGTGTTTACATTTTTCAGGGAAATTAACCTGTGAATGGCTTACTATTTATCACCTTTAAGCTCTTGAATGAAATATTACTGTATCCTCCAAACTTATTTTTGTTTCTTGACTCCTGCAGTTCATCACACATTCTCCTGCTATTCTCTTCCTCCTTCTGGTAAATGGGTTAGATGGAGGGAGTGTGAGCTCACCTGCCGATCAAGATGTGTTAAATAGAGCATATGTAATCATGTCTGTCTCTCGTCTGAGTCATGCATTTGTCATAGAGGCTTGACTTAATGTCTTATTATAGGAGAACGTCCAGACCTTTAAGGACAAATTTGAAGACAATTTTCAATTGGCACTTAATGAATGTTATAGTTGGGCAGTTTTTCATTTATTAAACTATTTAGGTTCTCGTCAGTTTTTTAAAGGAGATTCTGATTTTCAATAATATTTCATATAATTTTTTTCTTTCTCTCTTCTGGCAGTGGGACTCGATGAAAGATGACAGAGGAGGTGATTGTTATAGCCAAGTGGGACTACACAGCTCAGCAAGACCAGGAACTGGACATCCGGAAGAACGAGCGCCTGTGGTTGCTGGATGATTCCAAGACCTGGTGGAGAGTCCGCAACGCATCCAACCGCACCGGCTACGTCCCCTCTAATTATGTTGAGCGCAAAAACAGTCTGAAGAAAACCTCACTAGTGAAGAACCTGAAAGACACTCTCGGTAAGAAGTCTCACAGCTCAGTAAAGCATTCCACCAATTCACAGTCCTGCCAAACTAGAAAAATCCTTTTAAGGCAAGTCGGTTTATTTTGCAGGCATCTTGGCAACACCATCAGGAAGCTAGTTTATATGTAGGCAAATAGAATATCTACTGGGGAGAAAAACGAAATCTCCAGCACTGCTAAGTTCCCATAACATGCCAAATCATCAAAATCTGACAATGATTGGAATGCTTGCTCTCCTTTGTTTTCCTTTTTTTAGGCCTTTTCATGGCCTAAGCCTTTGGAAAGTAGACCATTCAGATTTAAGGTTAAGAATAGTTGGGTTATTAGATAAATTGTGCTGTTTTTATCTAAATGTCATACTGAAGAGTCTGTGCAGGTCTAGACCTCATACTCCTTCAGTAGGAGATGACGTGTATGAAACGCCCTTGCAGTTGCCATGCCCTACTTCCCCCATACGCCTCCGAAGCTTCATGCCTTTAACTCTCAATCTGTCATCTCAAGGCACTAAGGAAGACTCTTGGGACTGTCGTTTTTTGCAGCGAGTTGTGTACAAGCCAACAACACAAAAGAAACACTGGGATCCTTTGATTGCATGTGTTATGCTTCATAAAAAATGATTTAATTTATTGTTGAGATACTTTGATCTTAAGTCACCTTGAGGGGCCCTTCTTCATTCATTCCAATAAAACATCTTAATGTTACAGTATCTATCACAACACCAAAAGCAGGTGAATCATCTGAACACATAAGTTTTTGAGGGCACTGTTTTGTTAGGACAGGTTTCATGGGAATTTTTTAATTGAAAATGGACACTGTTTAAAAATTGATCTCATGTTCAAGATTGGTGTGGCCCTAGGGCAGGGGTGGCGAACGTCGGTCCTGGAGAGCCGCAGGCCTGCAGAGTTTTGCTTCAACCCTAATCAAACACACCTGAACAAGCTAATCAAGGTCTGAAGGGTTACTAGAAAGCTACAGGCAGGTGAGTTTTAATTAGGGTTGGAGCTGAACTCTGCAGGGCTGCGGGAGTTCGCCACCCCTGCTCTAGGGGCTGACACTGGAAGTCAGGTGCCCCCTGCTGTCCATTAGCAAATCCACCAATAATCCTCACTATACTGTTTAGCCCTCAAAATAAACATTGATATGTTGTACTTTTTTGGAATTATACAGAGATGATTTTTATATTATCTGTGGTCTCTTGCTAAACAGTTATTTATCCAAGAAAACTTAAAAAGCTCTTGCATTGTCAGACCAAAATTTCATTGGATTCTATTTTATCTAAGATACTAAGCACATCACACTGACCAATGTATTTTTAAATCTGTCTAAATCATTAGTATCCCTAGATGAGAGCATGCTTATCTCTGTCTATGTGTTTGTTTGTCCCATATGTGATTACTATGAGTTAATGAGCTCTAAATACCATTTTGTTATTTTGTTAATGAGCTCTGAACAACAGGAAGCAGTGAATCGATAATGCCTCCTCTGCTGCGGGGGGTAGAGACGTGGAGAGGTTTAATAACTACTGAAGTTGTTTGTTTGTACTGAAGTGCAAAGTATTTTCCCCATGCAGGTCTCTGAGACAGCCAATGAAATTAGAGTAGGCTTTCATGAAAACAGTGTTACATTTTACCTGCTTCCTTTCCATTGTGTTCCATTGTGTGTGAGTGAATGTGTGTGAATTCCAAGCAGGTTAAGTGGAGCCTTGTTAAAGCAGGTTAGACAAGTGTTGAAATGAGACTCCTCATTCAAATTTAATCTGGTCATTCATAGCAAAGCCTTCAGATTTTGAGATAATAAACAGTAGGAATGGATGAGCGCAGTGTGGTTGACTGTTTTTTTTTTGTGTTGATTTTTAATTTGTGAAATTACTTGGAATTCTAGTTATTCCCTACACTAGTTATTGCCTAAGTCACTCTTTGAAGATCAGAGGATCTCGCTAAAGAACTGTCAGCATACACACACACTTACACACATCTTCTTGGCACCTCTGAGCTCCAGTACTCACACGCACTTACTATCATTCCACTTGCATCTCACGCGAGTTGTTCTGTGAATTGGCATTTCCTTATAAGCTGTTCCATCAAGAGAACAAAAAAAGGGCAAAGAATGTGATTCTGTGGTGCTAGTAGCTGCTTATTTGGGTATCCTGACCAGCCCAACTTGGCAAAATCAGCCTCACTGAGAAGGTCTATCCTTCAAAAGCAGTTACTCCGTATTTGAATGGCTGTCAATGGAGAAAGATGCTTTTGAACGAAGTGCCTATGGTGTAGGTACAATCTACCCTTTGGGTTCAACAATAACATGAATTTCTTGCAGGTCTACTGTTTGTCCAACCAGTGGCAGATATTTTGAAACAACTTTAGTTGGTTAAAGTGTTTCTCATTATCGACTTTTGCTTTGTCTGCTGTGGAGTCCACAAAAGGATGTATCAAGGGTGCAAAGTGGCCTCAAATAGGCTCTTCATCACAGGCTTTATGACAAATGGGACACCCTATGGTCTCATAGATTTCAAATAGTAAAGTTCAGCATTTGAGCAGCCAACTGTTTACATTAAAACCACATTAAAAAAAGGCCATTTTGACCAAGAAATACATTCGATCGTTTACACTCGCATTATGACACAGTTTGATCGCTCTTCACAGTATGCACACACACATGCAGTTGTGTGAGTGCCTTTGTGGAACTGTGTATGAAAATGAGTGTCTGGCTGCATTGGAATGAATGTGCCAGAACGGCCATTAGGGAGTTTCCGTTATTGTGTTGCTTGTAGTAGTTTGGTGTGCCATGTTTTGGTCACTTGAGATGGGCCAGAGCAGCTCTTCAAATCTCCTCTGCTCAAGTCAACAGCTTCATCCCTCTCTGGGACTTCTGAAAAGAGGCTTCACATTGTGTCATCTCAAAGACTTCTTGTACGTGGTTTTCATAGATTTTTCTATCTTCATTCTCCTTTTTTTAAGCCTTCTCAGGCGTTCCTCTCACGTATTTGTCACTGGTTGTGGGACTTGCTTCTATTTCTAGATTTCCCAGAAGGTCTTTGTTCTGTTTGTGTTGCAGTGTTCATTCCCTGTCAGCCCGAGCCTCAGAAGTACACACCACTCTCAGCCAACACAGTCTCAAAGTTCCAGCATAGGGAAAAGTTTCTGCTCCCTTTGAACTAGAAAATTAACTGCGGACTGTTCTTGTTTGCGGTCCAGGTCACTTCCACATCATAGAGTTTTGAGTGCTGTTACTACTCCAGACAGCAAGTCAATGTGTAGAGCACTAATGCTAACATACATATATATATATATATATAATCACCTACATTTGCTTTATATCATGATTGATCATTGGAGTCACTTTGAGTACTTCTTCAGGTACACAAGCCCATCCCTACCTTCTGGAATGCAAAGGGTCGATATCTTAGTCAGAAGTCAAGAATGGTTTCAGATGAATTCGCACCTCAGAAAGCCTTTGGTAGAGATATTTCCAGGTTAATGTGCAGTGTGGTGTAGGGATGTAATGATTCACTCAACTCATGATTCGATTCGATTATAAGGCTTTGTCTGTGCTCTTTCCATTTAAAATTAGAGGCAACCACTGCATTTTAATCTTGATCCAAACCAAGATGCTGAATACATGCAACAAGAGCAGTTTTTAATCTAAATTACATTGTATAATTTCAAAATTTTAAGCAAAAACAGAATGGTTTGACTTCAGTTTTGTGAAACTATACATAAAATATCTGCATGAAACAGCGGACGAGCTGAATGAGATGCAGATGCACTCTCTGCCAGCAGGTGGCACTTAAATATCTATTAAAGCCTAAGAATGCTGCTTGCGTGTAAGAGATGCTTGTGTGTGCAAGCACACCTGGATGCATGTGAGAAAGCTTTGCAGATCATTTGGTAGGCTCCTAGAGATTTGTGACAGACATCAAATGTTCTCTTGCATTCCCACAGCTCTGTTATTCTATGTGTCATTACTTTCCAAATTGACTTCTCTTTCTCCTGTCAGCTCACGTCAGATTGAGTTTCTTTTGAAACCTTCTCGTCCTCCCCTTGCACCTTTTCCAGTCATATCAATATGAAGCATACAGCCCCTGTTGCCTGGGAGGCCCATTGCATTTGAATTGCTCACAGAGAGCTGGGGTTTGGAGTCTGCAAGGAGTTACCAGGCCTCAGCTCAATTTCCACACCTCACTACGCTTTCTGTGTACTCTGTTAGCAGTGACAGCACACAGCACACTGAGCGTGCATATGCACACACAAAGTGTCTGATTGTGTGCTGTATGTGGCCACATGGTATTAGTAGAGGAGGCAGAAACATTGCCAGTGGCAGATCTCCTCTGTTACCTGGGAACAAGTGAGAGGGCTTATTTTTGGCTGCCTGTCAAGACACTGAAATGCAAACTGGGGTCCTACTCAGGATATGAGGGGGTACCTGTCTGTTTCACTGGCATTCAGACAATGAATGTGTTTACATGTACATCTAAATGCTGGTAACTGTCAAAAATCTGCTCATTATAAAAACAAGATTTTGAAACCATAAGGTTTTTTTCTGGTTTTGTCGTTAAAACGTGCAGAAGACATCGTGTGTACTGATCTGGCTTACTGAAAGTAAGTTTTTGACATGTCCCCTATATAAGAAAACCAGGTTTTTGACACTCATAAAGAATCATTTTCCTACTAGTTGTGTACGTATATGTCTGTGTATTTTTGAGATGGAAATTTATGTGCTCAAACCATTGTCTGTTTCTTAGGTTACTTGTTCCTTTGTTAGATAACCATATCAGAGTAATCCCACCTCTCTTTAAAGCTGAATATTAAAGTCTTCAATCCTTAATCTCTCTTTTCTTCCACGGTTCCCAATGCACCCCTAGGACTCAAGTGTTTACTTCTTTGCCCTCTAACAGAGTCTGCTCAGTCACATCACTAGTCTTGAGTAGATCAGCTTCTATTTGCCCAGAAGTGGGAGCAATTTTCTATAGTAGGAGAAAATGTTATGCTTTAAGACATCAGTGAACTTAAGGGTACTTTGCAGTCTGTTTCATTAAAGAGTACAATAGGAATGGGAATTTAAAGCAGAAGCGTGCCATTTCCCTGCCACTTACATCACCAAATTTGTCCTCTTTGGCATTAAAGCAACAAATGTTGTTTTTATCTTTGAATTAACCGATTCATTAAAAAGAAAATCCTTAAAGTGTCATTGTGGTCACACTGTATGTTTGTTGTTGCATGTGCAATCAGTGAGTACATTGCAATAGAAAGGCATGTCATCTATTTCTTGTCAGTGTATTATTTTTTGGTACCCAGTTTTTGTCTCTCCCTACATTCAGTTAAGACTGCAAATTCACAACTGTTGTGCCGTGGCACTTTAGATTTAGTATTGAAAATATTATTGTGATGAGTGGGGCGGGGCCGAGGGCTGTGGAACGGAGCGAGGCCGGTGGAGTGAATGAAAGTGAGGGACACCTGCGCCACTCGTCAAAATTATCATGAAGTGTTTTATGATTTTAGATTTAGTGTGAGTATAGTGTTATTGTTATGCCTATGCATTGGCAGAAGAATGCAGATGTTCAAGAACAAATGAACACCGTTAAACGATAGGGCCGGGAAAATAAATCGATGCATCGCGAATCGAGAAATGATTCAGCATCGATTGAGATTTTCCGAATGCATCGCGATTCTTTCTCGAGTCGATTCTGAGCTTAGTTTTGAACAGCAGATGGCACTGCATGCTTTAGAAACAGCCATACTCTGCTTGTTTCCAAATCTTTACACACACTTGAACCTAAAATAATCATTCATAAAATTTGAAAAGGTTGAAGCGAATTACAAGGGTGTTCACAATGGGCTGTGTTTACATTAATCTTGCGTCATAAAAGCATTCTGAGCCGAGGTGAAATTACATGACTCAGCCAAACTCACCAGCGCTCTTCAGCACTCTTTTTTAAATGAGCATTTGAGTGTGCGGATAAAAACTAGATTACAGCGCCATCTGCTGTTAAAATCTAAGCTCAAAATCGATTCCAGAGAGAATCGCGATGCATTCAGAAGATCTCAGAATTAGGGATGTCAATGTTCGATTATTTCCATGATCAATTGTCGTTTAAATTAACGATCAATTAATCGATTAATCGTTAACCTTAATACTGCAAAATGCATCTATTGCAGTGACATATAGTCACCGGCATGACAGGATGTGCAAATGCCACTCAAAACACAGGCTTCCTCAACCGAATTAAAGGGGGTTTTAGTATAAATAAAAGGCTAGTAGCAGGATTGTAAAATGAATAGATGTGATTATGATAATTTGATAAAATGAAGTGAGCGCGCCGTAGTTACGTTTGGGATCATTTTACTTTGTTGACTGTTTCATATCCCATCACGGAGACCACTGAATGTACCTCTTTAAATGGTATCATGGTGCGCGTTGTTGTATTTTAAAACACAATCGCAATGTTTGCAATTTACATTTATAGGCATTTAAAATAAAATTATCCCAAACGTAACTGCGGCCCATGTTTCTGTGCCGCGCGGTCAGAGAACCGCTTCCACCGGCAGAGCTGCGGCAAAACACACTGCTGCTCACATGAAACATTTTAATGTGAGTATGACACAAGTGAGGTGCAAAGCTTATTTTATGAGAAATAATGTGTGAACAGGCAAATTTCATCGTGACCGTGCTTTTGCATTCATGCTGTTCGATACATTTAAAGCCATATGCAGCTTTGTGTTCTGTTTTGCTGGTTGGTCATGAATTTCCACAAATGTAATAATATTTATTGTTTCTTTTCCCAAATCTTCACCATCTCACCCTCTAATTTCGCAGGTTTATTTTATTGTCGTGCACTTTTAATCGCTGTTTTCGCATCTCTTACTGAGGTAAGCATGTGGGGGGAAATGAAAGATTTCATGGCCATGAATTAAGAATTCGTTCTTATGACTTAATTCGTTCCCTCATTTTAGTTAATTCATGGGTTTTCTAGGGAACAAATTAAGGAAACATGTACAGTGGCGACAAATTAGTAAGTCGTAGGAATTAATTAAGTTGTAGGTATGAATTATAGGTATATATAAACTATTTGTCCTGCTCGTGTCCCTCAGCCCTGTCAAAGCGCAGAGCCTGAAATGAAACATTTATCTGGGGAAATTATAATTAAACATGACTTATTACATTTCAATACAAAAGAACTTTGTATTGTTTCTGTTTTAATGTACCTTTAAAGTTTGGATCACATTAAAAGCATAATTTGTATGTTAGGGAATTATTTTCGCTAAAGATCCAGCCTCGTCACACTCACAGCTGCTTGCACGTGTTTTGCGCATGAGCCGCACGCACCCCAAAATTAAAAATCGGCCATCGATAGCATCTCTTATCGACAATTAATCGATCGTCGATTAATCGTTGACATATCTACTCAGAATCGATCCACGAATCGATTCTGCATCAATTTATCGTCGCAGCCCTATTAAATTAACAGTGTCATAGAAAAATTATTCCCAAGGTTACCAACCCCCCAAAATCTTCTAATCCATGAAACCTGGGGTCATTTAATAAAAAGCCTATTTAATTTATGCAACTCTTAAGCACTGGTAAAAGCTCTTCCTTGGAAATGTTAGACTAATTGTTTTAGTGATTCATTGGTTTAATGATCTGTGATGACTCAATCAATCAGTTGTTATTTCTGTTTTGACAGCTTTCTTCCAGATTTCTACTTCCTTACTGTTTTGCATCTCTCTTTTCCACTAAGGCCTTAGAATCTGAATACAAACTGATAATTGAGATGAGTCAGATTTCACCCTGAAATAAAGAGGTGCTGTCCCATCTTCTGAGCCTTTACAAACACTGTTTTTGCATCTACAGTCCTATCCCGCATACATGAAGGCAGTGTTTGGACTTCTCTGCTCCTATAATGCGAACATACACAGCTTTCCAGGTATTTCTCTTGGTTCCGAGTCACTTCAGGGTTTCTTCATGACAGCTTTCTTCCAGATTTCTACTTCCTTACTGTTTTGCATCTCTCTTTTCCACTAAGGCCTTGGAAAAATGAAAAGGAAGACTAGTGCTCGTGATCCATCTCCCACACCCAGCACAGAGGCAGAGTACCCATCCAATGGCAGTGCAGGAGGAGGTGGAGTGGGCGGGGCCGAGCGGATCTATGACCTGAACATTCCCACACTGGTGAAGTTTTCTTATGCAGCTGAGCGTGAAGATGAACTCAACCTAATAAAAGGGGAGAGGGTGGCTGTGATGGAAAAGTGCAGTGACGGCTGGTGGAGGGGTAGCCATGCCGGCCGAGTCGGTTGGTTCCCGTCCAACTACGTCCAAGAGGAGGTGGGATACACAGACCATGATGACGTCTTTGGGGACTCATTGGGGGGCTTCCGGTCCTTAAAGGTGGGGCAAGGTGCGGCGATGGCCAACGGCCGGCCGGGAGGCTCTGGGAGCTCCGTTCTGCATGTGGTCCAGACTCTGTACCCCTTCAGCTCTGTCACAGAGGAGGAACTGAACTTTGAGAAGGGGGAGACGATGGAAGTTTTGGAAAAGCCAGAGAATGACCCAGAGTGGTGGAGGTGTAAAAACAGTCGCGGCATGGTCGGTCTTGTGCCCAAGAACTATGTGGTAGTGCTCAGTGATGGGCCAATAGCGAAGGGTTTAGGGTCAAGTCATGGCTCCCCTCACATCAGTCACACAGTTCCCTCACGTACAGGCAAATTTGCTGGAAAGGATTGGTACTATGGTAATGTGACACGGCACCAAGCTGAGTGTGCACTTAATGAGAGAGGAGTGGAAGGGGACTTTCTGGTACGGGACAGTGAGTCATCGGTAAGTTGGACTGACTTTCCTCACATCTTCATGCAACCTATTGCAGCAACCTGCTTATTGAGTTATGTAATGTACTGTATTGGAACCCAAAGTGGGTAGAAACTGCATTAGCCAACTGAACTGCACAGTGTGAACCAATTATTTGTGCAACCCACTGGATGGTGGATCAGTTTACATGCACAACCCACTGAGTGTACTGTGTGACAGAGACCAATTTGGACAGTGTTGAATAAACCATGAAACTTGCTAAACTTATTTGAATTGCAATGAGAATATGACTTCCCATAGTGCTGTTTAGAATGGGGCGGTATGACCAAAATCTTACATAGGTAATGTTTTATCAGATATTACATATATATATTGTAATGCAATATATGTATGCTATGTATTACAAAATTTGTCTGGAAATTAATTCCAAAAATATTTAATATTACATCATTTTATTAATGTGGTCAAATACTTTAAGAATTAAAGGTACTTTATTTCATGATATTATTTTCTTTGTAACTTTTTGTGGAAGGTTTAATTGGAAGATAAGATACAAATGAATATGTACCAAGTAGGTACATATTTCAATTATAATTAACCAGACAGTAAACTCTGCTTTTCTGCGACACAGTTTTCAATATTTGACATGTTTTTCTAAATAGTGTGGGATTTTTTAAATCATGCCGTGGTATATGGTAAAGTAGAACTCCACCGGTTGACATTTCTACCATCACGCAATATACCCTCATATCAGGGTATATTTTTGGTCATTTGTAATATGGCTTTACAGTTAAAAGAAAGATAGATATGATACATGAAAAAGCTTGCAGAACCCTATGAAGGATCATAACAAGAAATTGATCAGAGATCTTAGAAGAATAAAACCTGGAAATGGCAAAGAACAATTCTTGATTTTTTTTCTTTAGTTCAATACGGAAATTTTGGATGAAGTTTTACTGACCCAAAAAGCTATGTCCTCTCTTGGCTGCTGTGTGACTTGGTGTCAGGCTTTATTTTATTTGAATCAATGCTGCCATCTGGTGTTTAGATATGGAAAAGCAGCAGCAACAACGTCCCATTCGTTTATCTCTCCATGTCTTTTTTTTTTCCAGCCCAGCGATTTCTCAATTTCTCTGAAGGCTGTGGGGAAGAACAAGCACTTCAAGGTGCAGCTGCAGGACGGAGTATACTGCATCGGTCAGCGGCGTTTTAGCAGTATGGATGAGCTTGTAGAGCACTACAAGAAAGCACCCATCTTCACCAGTGAGCAAGGAGACAAACTCTATCTTGTCAAGCCCCTTGCCTGAATTTGTCACTGACGTTACCTCTCCCCCTGTGCAGCTGTTCCCTTCTTCCCTTCTTTTTTCTCTTGCTCTTTTCAGAAGCAACTTCAAGGACTATTTGACATTTCAAAGCCCAACATTGCCTCCACTCCTGTAGGGAGCAGTAGCAACTTATTCTTTTAAACAAAGATGTCCGTCCTTGATATACGTGCCGGTTTTTTTGGTTTTTTTATGATTTAGTCACTTCGGAGGTTTTGGTAAAGAAAAACAGAATGGCATTTCACTGAGCAACATCTGTAGAACTCTCTCCCAGACTTTGGACAGCTGTTCTTCTGCTCTTCCTGTTGCTGGTTAATCCACAACCTCAATCCACATTACATTGGTTTACATTTCTCTGCTCAAAAGAGCATTACAGTATGTAAATGTTTAGCTCTTGTACTGAATTAGCAGAGGAGAATAGATTCATGTGCATGTCTTAACCTTGATCCTTCAAAGCAGGTGAGCATATGAAGAATGAGGAGTGTGATTTGGTTTCCAACTGATGGTGTGTCTCCATTCATAGAGCTCATCCAAAGGCCATGCAACTTGTATGTTCACACTGCAGCTGCCTATCGCATTACACTGTCAGAATCTGAATACAAACTGATAATTGAGATGAGTCTGATTTCGCTCAAAAGAGCATTACAGTATGTAAATGTTTAGCTCTTGTACTGAATTAGCAGAGGAGAATAGATTCATGTGCATGTCTTAACCTTGATCCTTCAAAGCAGGTGAGCATATGAAGAATGAGGAGTGTGATTTGGTTTCCAACTGATGGTGTGTCTCCATTCATAGAGCTCATCCAAAGGCCATGCAACTTGTATGTTCACACTGCAGCTGCCTATCGCATTACACTGTCAGAATCTGAATACAAACTGATAATTGAGATGAGTCAGATTTCACCCTGAAATAAAGAGGTGCTGTCCCATCTTCTGAGCCTTTACAAACACTGTTTTTGCATCTACAGTCCTATCCCGCATACATGAAGGCAGTGTTTGGACTTCTCTGCTCCTATAATGCGAACATACACAGCTTTCCAGGTATTTCTCTTGGATCCGAGTCACTTCAGGGTTTCTTCAGAATCAGGGTACTTCATAAAGGGAGATAAATGCCGCAGTTATGACAGGCGTTAAAAGAGATGGAGGTAAAGAGAGAGAGATTGTAGCTATTAAGAGAGAGTAGTTTCTGTAGACAAGGAGAAAGTTTGAATGTGTGTCCTTTCAACCAAATGTGCCACCCACTCCCAGTTCTGCTACTATTGATGTCTTATTGCACCTCACCAACACGTCTTCTCTGCTCTCAGTAACACAGTTGATTGTGAACACTAATTCAAGAGTAATAAAACAAAATCATTATGGTACTGTATTGAGGACAGTGTGGTGAGAATTGAAATACTTTTGTTCAATAAAAGTTTCGCAAAATAACTTAAAATGGCCTTTGGTGTTGCCTGTGCTTTCTTTTCTTATTTTTCATTACTATTGATTTATATTGTGAAGAGAAAGAATGTATCAGTTCATCACATCACCCTCACCTGCAGATTAACATTTTAAAACTCAGGGGTGTCAAACTCCACACCTGGAAGGCTGCCGCAGCCCTTCAGAGTTTAGTTCCAACCCTGCCCTAATACACATACCATGTAGTTTTCAAATAAGCCTAAATGACTTGATTAGCTGGATCAGGTGTGTTTAATTAGAGTTGAATCTAAACTGTGCAAGGCTGTGGCCCTCCAGGAACTGAGCTTGACACCCCTGTTGAAACTAGTCATATTTTTACAAAATGTGCATGCCATGAGTGCAGTTCACCAGTGGATGTCACTATCAGACAGCTCAAAAACAGAAAATAACCTTTCCAGGCTTTTCATACCATAAGCCCGTTTTGTTCCTATTTCATCTTTGACAATAATGTTAGGGGGGGTGGAGTTATGAGGTTTACTGACAGTTTGAGCGGATCCAACAAGATTTAGTCACGAGCTGTTTTTAATACCTTTCATTAGCTAAATATTTGTAAAGCAGACAGACAGATGTAAAGGGTGACCAGTGTCATTGATTTATTGAAGGAAAAAAAAAACACCATCACCAAAAAAAGGTTACTTCGGAGTGTAAGGGCAAAAAGGGCATGTGCTCTGCACAGGTTGAGCCCTACCTGTGCACGTGCCTGTCAGGCGCCATCTTTTTATCTAATCTAAACATAGCAACATCCATTATTATATTACCTAACTGTGATAAGTACATTAACTTTTGCATTATTTATTCACTTTTTATGTCAGAAATGTTGAGACGTTTAAATTACTATCGTATGGACTGCTGTTTATCGTATCTAGTGATATACTGCATGTGGTTCTGTGGTGTTTGTTGTAGGCCTAACTGATTGTGATGGTGGAACATTTTTACCTTTGAACTGTTCACAGTATGCAGTCTTTGATGATATGTGGTCTTTAACGATGCAAATGCAATAAAATCTTCTCTTTGCGATTACCGTCTGCAACCAAGTTTTCATTTTCTGCGAGTGGCCATCTCAGCATCGATAGTCATTTGGCGCCAACTGTGAAACCCAGACAGCAACATAGTGTTGGCCCAGATCCGGCCCACATCTGGCCCATGTGAAATCCATGCGGGCCAGACGTGGGCCGGATCGGGGCCGAAACTGTCTGCTGTCTGGGTAAAATCGCACCAACTTCAGGCGGTGCGAAAACGCCAAAAAGTGGGTAGTTCCACAATTAGTTCTGGTACTAGTGTTGTCACGGTACCAAAATTTCAGTATTCGGTACCGATACCAGTGAAAATCCACAGTTCTCGGTACCAATTTCGGTACCAAAGCAAAACACAAAAGGGCGTGCGCGGGGCCGAAACTGTCTGCTGTCTGGGTAATCAGAGCTATTGACGTCAGACGTCACGCAAATCGCGAGATGACGGCAGCAAGCTTGAATGCTGCTAATAGTACTGCTCCTAATTTGTTTATTTCTTAATTAAAAAAAAAAAAAACGAAACTCCTACGTGTTTTATTTCATCATCACAAATATGAACAGATTCGACCTCCCTGAGGGTTCAGAGGCTACACCCTGGCTTTAAAATGCGGATATTATTATAATTTTATTATTTTTTAATGATTATATACGGGTCATTCTACAGAAACGTCCACTTTTGGTATGGCAAGATGTCTTAGACTTTTGTATTTTAAATGGTAGAAAATCCTGTTTTTGACCTCAAAATAAAGCACTTTCCCTCTGTACATGGCTGTGGGGACAAGCAGTTTTGTGGTACTTGAAATTCTATATAATTAATAAAAAAAAAATAATGCCACATTGATAGCTCAGGAAGGTGTAATTGTTCAAATAACATATTGTTTCATTTTAAAATATAAAAATATTGTAACCCTAATGTGTATTTCAATTGTAATATTTCTGTAAAGTCTAGGGACAGAAAAGTGGACGTTTCTGTAGAATGACCCATACATATTAAATTCCACAAATTAAACCAAGAAAGATATACAATTATGCTGTAAGAGACACTGTGTTCAATGGTTGTACTGTAACAATATATGATACCCTTCAGCTTATGAAAAAAAAAAAAAAGCTTTTCAGTAGACAAAAAAAAACCATAAATCAGTTTTAAAGCAAGTTGTTAGTTACACGTGATCTAGGACCCAGTGCATTTCATCCTTCTCAGCTTTGTATAGGCTATTCATCAACATAAAATTCAATACGCTATCTACCTTAAGGTCTATTGTATTTTCATTTTAATTGTGTGCTTCTTTACAACAACAACATAATACTAATGTGTCAAGCTTAAATGTAAAAAAAAAGCTTTAAAAAGTTTAATACTTTTATAATTGGTCATCATCATCTATCACAACTTTTATGAGATATTAATTAATGCCTTAGTCATTTTACTACATTCAGTAAACGTTTTGGAAAGCAAGATGATGGCATTAAGCCTAGCTATTGTGAATAGACAAGAGCGACAGAAGAGTAAATGCACATTCTGACCAAGAACGATAACTATTACATTAACTAACCATAAGGTCTAAAGCCATGTACACCTTTCCTCTATTTCCAACAAATGACAGACCGAAGATCTAAAACAATCACCACAACTCAATCATCAAAGTGGAAAAATATTGGAATCACTTTCACAACTAATTTTCCCAGCTGATGAACAATAAAACACTGACAGCCAATTAGACAAAGTTTAGACAATGTTATCGTCTCTTTGGCGTAGATGCTAATAGGCCTATAGCTATTATTATAGTTTAGCTAGTTAGATAGATAGTTATTGTTATAGCCTTAATAAGAAAAACATCAAAGTAGTATAGCTTGTCATGATGGAACTGTGATATTTACAGTTTAGTGTCACTATACAAAAATATTATGCTACTCATATAGCTTTTCTCTCTTCTATTTTTTGAATAAATGTCTAGAGTTTTCTTTTTAACCAGGTTTCACATGATCTGTACTTTTTACAAACTGTAGTCCAAACTTTGCTACTGATTACTACTTTGTCTGGTTACCACTTTCTTTCAGGACAAAAGACATCTTGAACAAAACAATTTAGTGCAAAAAGGAACTTTTGTTCTTTTGTGTTCTTTTAAATTTGGATCAACCTTGGATTCTTTTCACCATCTGCAATCCTCATTCACATGCACTGTTTGTATAGATGTGTGATTGGCGGAGTGTTTTCTCAGACACACGTTTTTCTTGTGCTGATGAATGCAATGAGGATGTGAAGGAAGTTTAGTCTTTTTCTCTCTGTCTGCTGACGGCATATGGTTTTCACTCCCACTCCTGAAATCTGTCATGTCAATAAAATCTTGTATAAACATGAATGACATTGTGACCGGTAATTGTACCACTGAGCTGTTTTTCTTCTACTTCTGCTTGTCCCTGGCTGTTTCTTCTGTCGGTGCAAATCACAAACAGTCCCTCACCGCTGAAGTAACATGGACATGTTGAGTCTGGCTTAGAAGAAGAATGTGATGGCATCTTTTCTGGCAAAAAGCAAAGCACTCTTCATGTTATTTTGCTGGTCAGTAGCACTTATTTGAGAAGGACAGACAAGCTCAGTTTTTAGAGTTTAGACTCACTCTTACAGGCTTTTCTCTGCTTCTAACTTCTAGGTAAGTTTCCTCTCATGGATCTGACAGCATCATTTCAAAAACTGATATTTTTATTCAGCAAGATTGATTAAAATTACAGTAAAGATGTTTATAGCCATTTCTGTTTCTAATAAATGCTATAGTCTTTAAACGTGAATATGTTGTGCTTTCACATTAAGCAGTCGCATTAAGATAGAATCAGGTGTTTTTTCATGGTTTCTGCTGAAGGTCCCTTAGGTGTTGTATCTCAACTTGTATCTCAACACCTCAAACTGATTCAGCCAGTCATTAAATTATTTTCAAATAGTTTACAGTTCAGTCTTTAATTGTTTATTTGCCCATTCTACACTTGAACAGTTCAATAAAGCTCCCAGTTGAGTCTCTTAAGCTAGAGATGAGTCTCCCTGTTTTTGTCCACAGGCTTTTTTTTTTTTTGATTAGATGCACTTTGCTTTCTTTTTTCAAAAAAGGAACGAATAGCCTTCACCTGTCAAAAGAATAATAGACTAGAGACCTTAGAAAAAGTAGTATTGGAAGCCAAAATTGGACTTTAGAACTGTAAAAAGTACACTTAGGTTTTGCTTGCAGAGCCTGTTTAGCTAATAGGAGCTTATTCGTTTTGTTGTGTGATGCTATTATCATAAACTTAATTGAATAATTAATAAGTCTGTCCCATGATCTGTTCAGAACACAGGGTGACGTAATGCCTCATATTCGTGTGTTTGTGCTTCTCTGCACCTTCCTGCTGCTTTGTTTCTGTGAATGCTGATTTGTTTCTGTGAAGCAGGTAAGATCTCCGTTCTCCCATCTGTTAATGTGATTAACTGTTCTTAAGTATTTATTTTATTGCGGCTTATTTAGCCTGTGTGTTGGTCTGTTTCAGCTTTAGCCAGATCCATTAACACCACTGGACTAAACAGTCCAAACATTTGGCCAGCAAGTCTGGCTCAGTAGCATTATAGTCGCTAATTACACAGGCTTTTTGCCAGTAAAGACTTTCAAAACTAACTGTGGAACTTATTGAATGTTATGTAAGAGAGTCATAACAGCACATTCTTCGTTGCATTGAAAAGGTTTTCTTCTCTGTCCCACTGTAGATGAGAAAGAGGGAGATATCTTCTGTCAGATGAATGATATTCCTGTGGAATTACTTGATTTTCTTGCCAAGGGTCTTAAATATTTGAGATTCTCTCAGTGATGAGAAATGATCTGTGATTTGAGATCTAAAAAGAAAAAAAAATATTTGAGTTAAATATTTAA